CAAGAAACCCATTGCATTCGATATCCGTCTTTTACATATTAATTTCGTTATTTTGGCAATTAAATAACTGTAAACATTTGGGAATATAATGGCGTATGAACTAATGCCATATGTTCTTTTCCAAAGTTTACAATTATCCAAATAGTGGATTCAGGTGATATAAGACAGAGAAGTCAGAAAGTAGCTGCTTAGGATAATGCAGAGCCATATATTGATATACATCCTTCATATATGAATGAGGGATATTTCCGTCTGACGAATATTAATATGAATACAGTTCCAACAATGTTTGTTTTTTATATAGAAAATATGATAAGGAATTGAAATAAAACGATGTGATAAGATTTCTTGATAATCATTTTCGAAATAATAAGCGATAATTCATTTCTTAAGGCAGGTTTCCAATATATCCACCAAATTAACAACTAAACAGGAATAAAAGCGATCCCTCTCTCTCTCTCTCTCTCTCTCTCTTCATGTATATTTCAGTCATTTCTGCACTTCTTCGCCTGATTTCCGTACTTTCCCACCTCCTCGCATTCGAACCATCCTAACTATGCCCTAGTTGTTTGAACGCGGACCTCCTTTCAGGGCAAGAAGGGCGTGATCTCACCGAGCCCAGGACTAGCGAGGCGTCACCGCTTTTGTTGCTGGCTGCACATACCAATTCAGACAGACTTCTGGAGTGCGATCATAATTCACAACAGACGATTACAGTTTTCCTGTTATCGCTCCAGTTTGCAGCACCAATTTCGCGTTGAAGGAAAGTATTCGATCCTGCTTCAAATACAGGTATGATACCATTAGCGTTTACTCTCATCATTATCATTATTGGAATAATTTTCTTGATGTCATAAACAAAACCATCGTTAACATCGTCACTGTCACATTAATCGTGATCATTATCATTACCATTTTCTATTATTGTTATGACAATGTCAGTGAGAATAATAAAAACCAGCAAACATAAAAAAATTATCAAATACTATTGTCATTATCATCATAATCATCTCTATTATTATGGAAATATTCTTGGGCTTTTAGACCTGGTATGTGATATGTATTATTCTTGGTGCATTAATCTCAATTAAGAGACGATTTATTTGACACTATCAATTACAATATATTCTTGATGCATTCTTGTTGTGTAATCATACATGGGTTTGCGGCCACAAGTCATGGAGTCTTTGTCATACTTGAATCTGTTTCTTGTCATGTAACTGAATGTAGTGGAATGTTATGTAGATATTATCATGCGCACTCTATCTCTGTCTCTGTCTGTCTGTCTGTCTGTCTCTCTGTCTCTCTCTCTCTCTCTCTCTCTCTCTCTCTCTCTCTCCTCTCTCTCTCTCTCTCTCTCTCTCTCTCTCTCTCTCGTCTCTCTCTCTCTCTCTCTCTCTCTCTCTCTCTCTCTCTCTCTCTCTCTCTCTCTCTCTCTCTCTCTCTCTCTCTCTCTCTCTCTCTCTCTCTCTCTCTCTCTCTCACACACACACACACACACACACACACACACACACACACACACACACACACACACACACACACACACACACACACACATTCTGTTTCCACAATCAATATTACGATTGAACTAATTACCTATCTAGTAATAAATTCATATGACTGAACAATGCCTTTGCTTTCTGTTTTCCCTTAAATACAATGTAAATATCACATAATAATCATTACTATAAATGAAAAGATGGATATAACATTCTCAGGTAAGATACGGTATTAGTGCACTATATGGTTTACCAAAATGTATATTTTTGGTATCGTTTGTCCTTCCAGATATATTCAAGAAACTTGTCTGTCCTTATTCGGTGATCAATCATCTTGTCATTCTTATTAAGCCTACTGACTAAATAGTGCTAGGACATGGTTTCGTCTTCGCTTACAGACACACACACAAGGGAAATATAACCTAATATAACAAGGGAAATATAACTTAAACTATTGTGTTTTTTGAGAAGCCTTAATTGGCGGAATTCTGCGCTGCCAAATCAAAACAAACGATGCTGCCTGACGTACGTTTTCATCGTTCATTCGTAACCCCCTTTTTCTCATTTCGTGACCTATTAGAACCCCTTCATGTAGACTCTAATCATTTTCCGAGATAAAATAAGGTCATACGACAAATAAAGAGACAGCGGTGAAGCGTTTTCGTGCAATCCTTATACACTCTCTCTCTCTCTCTCTCTCTCTCTCTCTCTCTCTCTCTCTCTCTCTCTCTCTCTCTCTCTCTCTCTCTCTCTCTCTCTCTCTCTCTCTCTCTCTCTCTCTGTTTCTATCTCTGTCTCCGATTCTCTCTCTCTCTTTATTCATTTTTTATTATTCTTTATTTTTTTGGATTCTTTCAGGGAGCAGTCGACAGGTTTAAAGTCCGGCAAGCAATTCTAGAATGATTGATAAAGCGACATCAGAGAGCAAGACGTTAAATAAAAAATCCAATTGAAGTGCAAGACACTGAAAAAAGAAATAAAAACAGACATAAATTTTA